GTCTAGTACATGTACACAGGACACAACGTGATTGGTCGAGACAGCTTTAATTAGACAGAAACAAAGACGTGTGACACACACTAAGTGACACTCATCTGAGCAACAAAGTCCATGCTCAATAATCCAGGTATACAATCCAACATTTTTCAGTCAGGTCATTTGTTCCTGTTCCACTTTGGAGTAAGCAGTTAGGAGAAGAATCAGTTTTGTTGTGTGTTTCCTTGACTGATGAAGCCTTCCGGATCAAAGGCGAAACGTTTCAGCACAAAAAAAGAAACTGTTCAGGTGACCTGACTGAAAAATGTTGGAGTCATCTGAGCAGTTAGAGATTTTGTGTTAGCTCCGCTAATTTACACACTACATACAGCTACACACAACGATGAAGACAGTAGGAAAGCAGTCAAGAAGTCAGCCTGACCAGATCCTTACACAGACTCTGCTTGAAGCCAGTGAAAAGTCCATGCCAGCATTTAGAAAATCTAAAGCTACAAGTGGGATCTTACACATCAACACAGTGGATGTCTACCTAAATATCTGGCCACTCTCCAAGACCTGGTTATCTATGAGTGGAATAACACTAGTGGTGCAGATCCAAGGCCATTCATAATCCATGATTCTAGCTCTGGGTGGCATCAGTGTGTTATAGTGTATGCTGTTGAGGAGCAGCTCCCTCACTTGGGCCTGACTCTTGAGTTATGGCTGGTAACTACACCATTTACCCATAGCCTTGTGTTATAGCTATTGACTTTGAGTTAGCTTCTATCCAGCCAGTGGCCTTTGTGCTTGGGCCTCAAGTAACAAGACAAGGCTGCTTCTACAACTTAGCCCAGAGTATGTAGAGAAAGATCCAAGTCTTGGGGAAGACTGATCTGTACCACACCAGTTATGATGTCAAAATACTTTTGTAGGAAGCTTGATGGGCTGTTCTTGCTTCCAGAAGACAAGGTGCAGGATGGCATGGTTTATCAGAGGCACACACCAGATGGGATGGAGGACTTAATTGACTACTTTGATTCCAAGTATAGAAGTAGAACCTTTCGTCATGTGCAGTAAGAACAAGTGCAACCTAGAGCTCCACCATAGTATGTTTTTGGAACATTCCACCACAGTTCAGCATACCCATCTGGAATGTCAAATTATGAAAGCTGGAAGATGTCCTTCTTCCAGCTCATCGGACATCAACACCCATTCTTCTGGACTGCAGTGGATGGTTTCTATTGAGACTATGCACTTGTCAGTACACACACAACAGAGGGCAGACAGTTGCCAAGTGTGCACGAAGCAATCATGAGGAGCTTCAGAAGCACCTCAAAAATCAGTGCCAAGACTTAGTAGCTGAGTGTAGATCTCTGGAGGATCAAGTCCTGCAGTTTGTAATAAAAACCTCAAATAATACTTTTAATATCATTTTTATATGCAACATTTTTATATTTGCAATGTGATTTGTATATTATATATGAAAATGTGTGATTTAAATGTTATATTGTTATGTGTGGCCAATAAAGAAGAAACAATGTGAGCTTATTTGTTTTAGGTTTGGCACATGCCCGTGTGTGTGAGCGAGAGAGGAGAAAGAAAGAATTATAGTCATTAAAACTCCAGGAAATTGAATCCATCCATCCATTTTACTTACTCGCATTTTCCTTTCCGGGTCACGACAGAGCTGGTGCCTACAGGTTTCCAGTCCATCACAAGGCTACAAAGATACAAATGAAACAAAACAAACATTCTCACTCACATCTACGAACCATACCACTCACCCTAATATGCATGATTTGTTTTGTGGAAGGAAACCAGAGTACTATGAGAAAACACACATGCACAGGGAGAGAGTACAAACTACACACAGAAAGGCCGGAAGGCAAACCTGTGACTTAATTTCTGTGAGGTGATAGTGCTTACCACTGCACTGCCGTGCAACCTGGAAATTGTATCATCAAGTGAAAATGGAGGACACGGTTTATCTCTGTTATTCAGCTATACTAAATGAAAGAAGTGTTGTTCCGTGTTCTGACACATTAGTAATTCAGACATCTTCAAGGTCATATTCTGTTGAGTTGTTCAGCATGTTTCCTTTTCTCCACATGGCCACAGTTCATCTTCAAGGTCCTGTTGTCATCCAAGCCCTCAAGTGCACGTGCTGAGCTGCAGAATGCAAGGTTTGATGGTCAGTCCCCTTGCACCCAGAGTTAGCCCTTTGTCCTCTCCATCCTCTGAGAGCTAAATTAGCATCTTAACAATGCAAATGAGCTTGTGGTTTATGGTAGGTGATGGCTGTTTGCAGGAGCCACTGAGGCGCAAATCCATTACGGTCTGACACGAGGGATGAAAATGTTTCAGACAGCAGACTCACCGAGATGATTATAGAATATGTAAATCTGCCCGGTGTAAGACATCCACACGCCACCCACCATCCACCACTCTGTAATTTCCTCCACCAAGGATTGTTTGTTAACACCATTGCTTAAGAAGTTAAGCATGAATTTAAATGAACATTTTATCAGACATGTCACACTTTTCTATACATAAATAATAAATGATCAATGAGTAACTGTAGTAAAGTAATAGCACCTATTCCACCTTGACTAAACCTTCTAGAATGTTTTCCGTATATTTCTCTATCATAAACTCAAACAGAACTTCTTGTGTTGTCTTTCTCCATCCTGCACACACTTTCAGTCCACTGAGTGTAGCGTTCAGTTTCGGGTCCAAGAACACGTTGACATGTGCAGTGAGCATGGACCTAACTGCTGAGCAGGTGTGTGTATGTGTATGATACAGAAACAAGCATTTAATCTCTGATATCACAAGCACTTTGAGCTGTGAGGTCTAACATCCTCTGGGAGTTTGTGAAGTGTTGCTCTGGTGTTGTAGCAATAAGCTTTACAAGTGCACGTTATTATTACCTGGGCTTTGTTTCTCAGGTTACACACAGCTAAGACAGAACAATGAGGGGTGGAGGTCTCAGGGCGCTGTGGTGCCTTTAACTTTAGTCCCACAAAGTTTTGTTTTAAATAAAGGCCTAGAATGTGTATCACTCATTGCCTTAAATGACAGAGATTTACACTGAGATCATGGCATGTTGAAAAATGACAATAACAGTATCCAAAAATGAGTTGTAGCCATTTTAGACCAACCCTGAAATGTGTTTTTAAAGCATTGACTTATTTTAAGCCTCACTATTATTCCATACCCCTTCACTGTAAGTTGAAAGGCATTTTTGTGGAGAACATGTGTGTGTTTTAACCTCTAGTGTTAAATGTTTGTTGTCCCTTGTCGCGGAGCGAAGCGTGGGATTTGGAAAACCGTCTGTCCATCCATGCATGTTGTGAGCATGATAACTTGGAAAATAAGTGAATTGCCAACGTCCATTTTGGTGTGTTGCTGCATCTAGGTGTCATGTCAAAAACTAGTTTGCCACGACAAAATCCAAGATGGCCCTGGCCATATAAATAGATATAAACCAGCCACCTCAAACATTTGAGGAAAATATGATTTCTAGATTTCATCTTGCATAAAAATATAGTTTCCTTAAATGATTGGGGTGGCCGAAGATTAATCTATGTTGGTCAATGCCACCATTAACTACTCCTTGGCACCACCATTGCAACAGGTGGTGGATAAAATTGCTGTCAGGGGAATTTTGGTCAAGGTCAAGGATGTTTATCACTAACTAATGTTAAATTAATGTTGAAACATGTGTGAGAGTTCAGAGAGTTATTTTCCCTCTCGGAGAGGAGCGTGCATGTGTAGCTGGATGAGGCCGAGGTCATCAGGGCCTGCCTCTGAGCCAAGAACTGATAAGCATAAAACAATTCTTGCACGCTGCCCCGTGCAGATTCTCGCTACCGGGCTCGATGATGCATCTGTGTAAGCCTGTGAGTGGAAGTCTGTCCTTGCAAGTAAAAACCGGTAAAATGTCATCTTGTGTCCTTGTGGCTTTTTTGAGTAATTGATATGAATAGAGGATATTTTCATCCAACAATTTCTCCCTTCACTCACTCCACTGTAAATTCGTCAGTCTGTGCTGTTTCAGACAAGCAGAGAGACAAACCTCCTTCTGTTCTTCCACACAGTGTAACTCATACTCACTTCAGTATCTTGCATCAAAAACATTTAGGTTTACTTGCATTCCCTGTTCAGTCCAGAAAAACACTCATCTCGATAACTACAAACATTTACTAATCCAATCCTTTAGAATGGGGACATCAGCGCACTGCTTGTGTATCATTGTTTAATGGCATCTGCTCCAGACCTCTGGGCCAGGTCATCCTTATTAAAGAGCTCTTGATCTTAATGGGTGTTTTATCAGATGAAGGTAATGAATGAACAGACATGGAGCGAACACATAGACTGTCTTCATCGTTCAGCAACAGGTGATGAACTTAACCACAGTTAAATTAAAGAAAAGATTAAAAAACAAAACTCCTGGACTTCTGCTCCGAAGCTGAAGATGTTTCACTTCCCATCCAGGAGGTTTTATCAAATCAAAAACTGTCTGAATTGTGAGGACTTTCTGATTTTTTTTAAGTGATAAAGCCTCTTGGATGAGAAGTAAAACATCTTCATCTTCAGAATAGAAGTCTATTAGGTTTTGGATTTATCAAGTCCTGGATGACTGAGAATCTTCACCATTATCACCACATTTCTTCCAGTAAGCTGGTGAAGATTCTCAGTCATCCCGGACTTTATAAAAACAAAAACCTACTGGACTTCTATTCTGAAAATGAAGACATTTCGCTTCTCATTTGAGGAACTGAGAAAGCTCCTCGGATGAGAAGCGAAACGTCTTCAGTTACAATTAAAGTCCAGTTGTTGTTTTTTTAACATTTTTATTTTTATTTTTCCAGTAAGACTCATTTCCATTATTTTTAAAACCTTTCTTACTCTTTAGCTGACGTGCACCTTTGCTCAGCAAACGCTGCTCAAAATCTCAGCAACACACGAACTATTACTGATGAAAAGAAGGTTTATGTTTATTTTCTTGTGTTTCTACGCAGTGATGCCAAATGTGGTAAAATCCAGTGCCACAGTGCTGCCAAGAAGCCCAAAGGCACCAACGCAGTGTCTATAGACACGACCATCAGGACGGGCGGCATCGAGGTTAAATGTCGTGGGACCTACGTTTACAGCACTCAGGACGGCCAGGGAGACCTGCCGGACCCTGGCCTCGTCATGACCGGAACCAAATGTGGAGAGGGGAAGGTTGGTGCTAACACATGAAAGGCATATTTACAGCTACAAAGGTTCTGAAGAAATTATTTCACTATTCAACTATTAAATTACAATATATTCTCCTATAGGTCCAAAAAGTAGTTTGGGGCATGTTTTTTGTAATATTTTAAGTTATGGCAAATCCAGACTTTTAAGTTGTCAATCTATCATCTTATTTTGAACTTTCAGGTTAAAGCATGTTGGGTTTTGTTTTTTAACGTCAATTACTACATTATGCAGAGGCTCATGTTCAGTTCTTATTTAAAAGTTATAATCATGATAATATTTTGCTTTATTTTTCAATATTTGTTGGGTTGGCCATGATGGAATAATGTGTCAAAGAACCTGTTAAGTGATGAAAAGTCCAGCGTGTCAAAATGTGTTGAGTCGCTGGTTGCCATGGTGATTTACAAGTCTACTCAGCTTCTAGAAGACTGATGCTTTCAGCAACCTCAGCATCATCGGCCTGTATGCAGTCGCTCCACACACTGACCTTGGCTTAATAACGCAAATGTGGTTTGGTTGAGAAAAGAAGCGGCGTGACACAGAAGATAAAGCTTTAATATTTGATAATATAGCATTTTTTGACATTTGTATGTTTTTTTTCTGAGAAAGAGTTTTATAAGCCTGAAAAACTAGAAAATAAATCTGGCACTCATTTGGCTAGCTGTTGGGCCCTGCTTACACAAGTTTATTTATTTGTTTATTTTGTGATACCAGAGCTTTTCTGGTATCTGGACGTCGTGTCCATGACAGCAGCTTTCGTTCTCTCTGAAACCGAAGGTTTCTGAATCCAGATCTCGAGAGTGGAGGTTTTCAAGGGGAACGCCCCCACAGAGGTTTGAAATGCTCTGCAGAGTTTTTATGATACTCACCCTTTTTCCAGCATGTAGGAGTAAACCAACAACATCCTTGGTCCAAAGGAATGTTCCTGTATGCACCAGTTTGGATGCAACTATGATTGTCCAGACACTGCATGCAGCTGAGCCCATTCAGGGTTGCCAGATAAACATCAAGTTGTTTGTTTTACTCTCCTTTTGTGTGCACATGTTCACCAAGCACAGCTCACATACAGTACCTCGTCTTACAACGCCCTCAATCAGCACAAATAAACAAGTTGTGTCAAAGTACAATCATTTTAAAACGGCAGTGCAATAGTTCATTTCTTATCTGGCAACTCTGCCTGGCATGGAAACTATGACGTTTTCATGTAAACCCACTCTCTTTTTCTTTTGTCTATTTGCCCTATGAAGCACTGAAAAAACGCAAACGTTTCTAGAGGTCATTCTGGTGTCAACAGGACCTTAGCCCAGCCTGGATAAATACTTCTGCCTCTTTTCCACACTCTGTGCCTCACGACTGATGCCATGGCCGCTAAGATACTTCCAGCTACTGATAACAATTTGGCCTGACTTCCTTTCAAAAATGACTGGACTATTCCTTTAAGACATTAGCCAGTGTTTGCCACAGTCCTCATTGCTTTAGCTTTTCATCTTCTTCTGCTGACTCAACGAGCAGGGCTGGTGCGAGCATACTTCATACAAAACTAAATGTCACTAAGACCCAGGAGGTTTGCGCTGGCTTGTTTGATTAACAGTTTTCCCGACACTTTAATTTTAGTTGCCAGATGCTGAATATGATTTGAAAGTTTTAAGCACCTTTGTGCACAAACATGAATCATGCAGAGCTGAACTGTGCTTGTGAAAAACATAAAAATGTTCCTGCACTTGGTGGTGTAGCTCCCTCTGCCATTTCTCCAGTAAATTTTATTCCTCGGTCTTTTTTTTTGCTTTCCCTCTGCATCACATTCCAGCCACTCAAATTCCATTTCAGCTACTGCGTGGGAAATGCTCTGAGGACTGAATAGTGCTGCATGAGTAATATATAATGAAAAGGCAGCAGATAGTATTGTCTGCCCTCTAACATGATGAATTTTGAATCATCGTATTGAGCGGGTCTTTTCTTGGCCGTAAATGCGCACAAAGCCTTTTCCTCTAATCATCCTCTGATAAATACAGCTGTGCTAAATCCATTCTCCCCCTAACAATCGTTAAGCAGCAACAATAACAGGTATTACAAAACTAATGCAAGTATTAATATTAGTACCGACACCTCTTCTGAATTACACTGCTGGATAAAAATGTTTGTTATACAGTTTTACCAAACTGGCAGGACATTTAACCAGTTTGCTCAGACCGACCTCTGGCCAGTGTTAACAAAACATCAGCACAACCAGGTACATCATAACAGTTGTGCTTCAAAATTTGTTGTGTCCTAATTTTATTGCCCATTAGAGACGTAAATAAAGCAAAAACATGGATATGCATATTACAAGCTGCCTTTTATACAAGAGGTTTAAACTGAGATTATCTTATGATAAAAATAATGGACTGTTTGATCAAACCTTGTAAAAATAACTTTATGCATAATCTAATGCAATGCAATAGTATGATCTGTGAGCAAATAAACTATGTAATGAGAATGACTCTCAGCTGCCACCACATCAAATTTAGCTCAGTATCTGTAAAAGGGACGGAGTTACGTCTAATGTCAGCTGGCTGTGGCAGCCATTTTTACTCAAGTTGACTGCGAAAGTAAACAAGTTGTAAATGTGCATCCAAAGTTTACTTTATGCAGGTTATAGTAAAGTTTATCCAGTGGTTCATGAGATATCTTCTTAATAAACACACACGCACACATGTTTGTCTTTCTATCTTTACGGGGACTTCCATGCATTTCTAGAGCCTAACCCTTACCCTTGCACTTCACATTATATTACTGCATTTGGCCCAAGTCCTCTGATAGATTTTAAATTTGGCCCTCTCAGGGAAAAAGTTTGGGCTCCCCTGCCCTAAACCTAACCATTACCAGTACATGCCTAACCCTAACCCAGCTGGGGAGTGGTGGCACAGAGGTTAGAGAAGATGGGCTTGTGATCAGGAAGTTGCAGGTTCAACTCCCGGTACCATTAACATAAAAAATGTGGGTGGAAAAGGTGAAACACCCACACCTGCCTCCATCCTCATTTGTCCCACTCTGGGCCCTTGAGCAAGGCCCTTAACCCCCAACATCTGCTCCCTAAACAGGTCTCTCTTGAAAATGAGTTCTCGTGACTCAGTGAGACTACCTGGATAAATAAAAGCTAAATGAAAAATGAAAATCCTCAATTCCCACCTTAGTCCTAAACTTAACCCCTAACCAGTGTTGCCAGATCTCATGATAGAAACAAGCAACCAGCTCTATGAAAACAAGCCCAACTGGCAACCCACCACATTGTGTAAAACAGAGGCTGTTTTTAAACAGTATAAATATACATTTATTATGACATTACACATAAACAACTGCAAAATTATGATAAACACTTTGAATAACATACTTTTAAGCTCTGATTAATTTTTTTATTTTTTGCATATGTAACAAATATGTCAATCATATTTTTTCTACATATTTTTAAAAACAAAACATCCTGACATTTGCGTGTGAGTGGAGCCCCCTAGTGGTCGGCCACAGTATGAGTGTTTGTTTGAGCATGAGCCTGTTGCCTCGACAACTTGGGCAGGAGCGATAAACAGGAAATGTGGGTGCAGAAGGGACAAACTACCTACTACCACTTGTCTTTTGCTTTATTGTTCAGAGCTGGGAGATAATCAACAAGATTCACTCGGAAAAAGAGTCAAGCCCAAATAAGCAACTTCACGTTCAAAACAAGCCCAAAAAAACGCAACCCGCGACTCACAATTGCAAACGACTTTAGAAAAACAACAAGCCCAAAGTCATTTATAATAGACAGACTTGGCAACACTGCTCCTAATCCATCAACGACTCTTGAACCTTATTAGGACCAGGCTTTGGTCCTCACATGTGTTGGAACAATGGGCCTTACAAGGTAACATAAACAAACACCCAAAAAAGTTCAATCTGGTCCTCTGGACATTCAAAAAAAAAAAAAGCAAAAAAATTATAGAAACGTTTCGTCTCTCATCCGAGAGATTTCCTCAGTCTGAGGTGCTGTATTCAGCTCAGTCTCTTAAATAGCACCTTCTCAGAGTGGATCAACCAGTTTTGCTGCTGACAACCAAAACCAGCTGATCACATGATCAAGAAGGACCATCAGCCTAACAATGGATCATTAGCACACTGATGGCTGTTTACTGTTCACAGAGGGCTGAGTGATACTAGCAATCACAGCATTGTAAGAGGGGGACAGTTGAACCCGGAGGCCTCCACCCCTGTTTAATGATGGACGATTTCTTTTCACAAAGATGGCCTCCTTTACTCCTCTCTCAAACCATCGTTCCTCTCTGTCCAGGATGTGAACATCTTCATCTCTGAAAGAGTGACCGCTGGCCTGGAGATGAGTGTAGACCGCAGAGTCCTGGCCTGATTATGTTGCTCTTTTGTGCTGGTCCATTCTTTTGGCCAGTGGCTGTTTAGTTTCCCCGATGTAAGACTGATCACCCTCCTGACACTGAACAGCATACACAATATTACTGTTTGTGCCGGGGGACTGGATCTTTGGGATGAACCAGTCTTCGCCGTAATGTATTTTGGGGTTTAAAAGCCACTGTGGCTTTTAGGGGGTGGAGGCCTCCGGGTTCAATTGTCCCCCTCTTATAATGCTGTGATTGCTAGTATCACTCAGCCCTCTGTGAATAGTAAACAGCCATCAGTGTGCTAATGATCCATTGTTAGGCTGATGGTCCTTCTTGATCATGTGATCAGCTGGTTTTGGTTGTCAGCAGCAAACTGGTTGATCCACTCTGAGAAGGTGCTATTTAAGAGACTGAGCTGAATGCCGCACCTCAGACTGAGGAAGTCTCTCGGATGAGAGACGAAACGTTTTACTTTTTTTTTTGCTTTGTTTTGTTTTTTGTTTTTTTGAATGTCCAGAGGACCAGATTGAACTTTTTTGGATGTTTCTACCTGGATTATTGAGCATGCATCAGGATAAACAAACACACATACTGGCATAAACACAGTTGTCTGTCTATGCCTTTCAGCAGAGGATTAGAAACAAACCAGAGTAATGTCACTTCCTGTGAAAATGCAGTGTGGAGGCTTATTGTGGAATGCATTGCTGAAAGCTGCTGAAAAGGTTTATTCTCTAAACTGTTAATGTGAGCTGAATTTGAACAGCTGATATTTGCTGAAAGCAGGAAAATAAAAGCAGAAACAATGTTTAGAAAAAGCTGAATGTACCATAAATCTAGGAGAATATGTTGAAATAAGTGTAGGAAATAGGAGGATTGATAAATTGCAAAGAATTCTGGAATTAATAAAGAAACTAAAATGAGCAGGGAAAAAAAAAATGTAATTAGCCCCAAATAGAGTAGCTGAGATTGCTTAAAAACTAATTGCCAGAAAAAGCTGAAAAAAGAATAAAAACATAAAGTTAGCAGAAATAAACTGAAGAGAGTAGAAAAAAGCTAAAAACAGCTGAAATGAGCAGAGAGAAGCTGAAAAGGAATGAAGGAAGCTGAAGTTTGCAGAAAGAAGCTGAAAAAAGCTTAAGCAGAACAAAAGCTGAAATGTGCTCAAGTAGAAACAACAGATGAAATGAGCTAAAGTAGAACAACAGCTGAAACGAGCTGAAGCAGAACAAAAGCTGAAACGAGCTCAAGTATAAACAACAGATGAAAGGAGCTGAAGCAGAACAACAACTGAAATGAGCTCAAGCAGCAGCTTGAAACGAGCTGAAGCAGAACCAAAGCTGAAATGAGCTCAAGTAAAAACAACAGATGAAATGAGCTGAAGCAGAACAACAGCTGAAATGAGCTCAAGCAGAACAACATCTGAAATGAGCTCAAGCAGAGCAGCAGCTCAAAGGAGCTGAAGCAGAACAACAGCTGAAATGAGCTCAAGCAGAGCAGCAGCTGAAGGGAGCTGAAGCAGA